ATTGTTCTACTTATAGTCAGAAGTATCCACAAGGAGAAAAATCTTATAGGAAAACCCAAGATTAGTTTCTTAGATGACCTGATAGGATTTTCACCCTTTGCAGCTGTGTGACTAGTAAGAAAATTTCATAGACTAGGAAAGCCAAACATTTGGTTGAAATGTTGCTGCTCTGTTCTCTGCTCTAGATGGGAGCCATCTTCCTGTAGATGCTACTTTAAAGCATCTCCTCCCTTTGCCTATGTCTATTGATAACTCTTGTCAATTTCTGTCACCCCGATAACAGTCAGTCAATATAAAAATAAAGCTATTTGGAATGTAGTTGTGTATTTGCTAAGAAAATTAGATTTCTATAGGAAATTAAATACATTTTTTTTTTTTTTTTAGATGGAGTCTGGCTGTATTACCCAGGCTGGAGTGCAGTGGTATGATCTCGGCTCACTGAAACCTCCACCTCCCTGGTTCAATCAAGTCTCCTGCCTCTGCTTCCAGAGTAGGTGGGACCACAGCCATGAGCCACCACTCCTGGCTGATTTTTGTATCTTTAGTAGAGATGGGGTTTCACCATATTGGCCAGGCTGTTACTGAACTCCTGACCTCAAGTCATCTGCCCACCTCAGACTCCCAAAGTGCTGGGATTACAGGCGTGAGCCGCTGCGTCCCGCCTAGATGCATATTTTTATTTTCCATTTTCCTTTCAAATGGAAAGGGGAATGCTTTATTCAATCACTGAAAATCTGTGAAATGATTCTCTTTAAAAGACAAACTTTCAAGTCAGTAGACTGTAAAGCAGATTGCCATCTCCAAAGTGGGTGCGCCCCATCCAATCAGTTGAAGACCTGAACAGTACAAAAAGGCTGACCCTCTCTTGAGTAAGGGGAATCCTCCTACCTGCTGCTTGAGCTAGCACATCAGTCTTTTCCCGCCTTCAGACTCAAACTGAAATATCAGCTCTTCTTGGGTCTCTAGCCTGCTAGCTTTCTGACTGGAACGACATCATTGGTGCTCCTGTGTCCCCAGAGCTTTCTGACTGAAGATCTTGGGATTTCTTAGCCTCCACAATTGCATGGGCCAATTTCTTATTTGTGTGTGTGTATAGACAGATACATACATACATTGATATACATATATATGTATATTAGATATAGATATAGGTATATATCTCCTATTAGCTCTGTTTCTCTGGAGAACACTGACTGATATATTCCTCAAGTAGACTACTGGGCATGAAAGTAGTCTACTTGAGCAGGGTCAGTCTTATTTTCCAGATCCAAGTATTTACAATTGTCACTGGTTTAAGAAATAAACTTTTAAATACAAAGTGGTCTATTTGAAAAGAAAAAAGAAATATTCTTGAGCTCAGGAGTTTGAGACCAGCTAGAGCAACATGGTGAAATCCCATCTCTGCCAAAAATACAAAATAATAATAATAATAATAATAATAGCTGTGTGTGGTGGCACACACCTGTGGTCCCAGCTACTCAGGTGGCTGAGTTGGAAGGACTGGTTTCACCAGGAGGGAGGTGGAGGTTGCAATGAGCCGATATCATGCCACTGTACTCCAGCCTGGGTGACAGAGTGAGACCCAATCCAAAAACAGTATACTTTATCCTAAAGAATATCACTTCAAAGAATGAAGTGACAAGCTAACATTACCTGGATTCCACCTGAACCATCCATGGACCAAGTTTGGTTTTTGGGTTTTTTTCTTTCTGAGTCTGCTGGTCTTAGGTAAATCCATCCCTCATGAGGTCCTAGGTATGAATGTTGCAGTAATGTCTCCCAGTCAATGGTAGCTGACATAGAGTCTGGGCCACCTGTCCATGAAGCTTATATATGTGCTCTGGGCCTGCTCCAGCCCAATCTTGGTTGTATCTGATTTTGGATGGATTCCTCAGAGCCTACCTGACCTTATGAGTTGGTGAGTCTGTCACAATGCCATTCACGATGGGCAGTCCTCATTGCACAGTCTGATGTCCCATGGATAAATGCTCCAGCTTTAGCATGGCCTAGTAGCTGTTTTTTGAATGGCATACAGTTCTCAGTTATAGGTGGCAAATTATCTACTGGGATGTCTCAGGGTACTTCCATGCCAACTAAAAACTGCTAGAGGGTAAATCAACAACTGCAGTTTCATAAAGTCATGGTAACCAGGCTCATCCTGCCAGGCAAGCTATCAAGACCAACGGAAGTCCAAGAGTGAGAAAAATCTAAAATGGGTGATAGAGGAGAAAAACAATGAATACTAATTAGTATGGATAAATCTCAGGCTGGGCACAGTGGCTCATGCCTGTAATCCCAACACTTTGGGAATGCCAAGGTGGACAGATCACCTGAGGTCAGGAGTTCAAGATCAGCCTGGCCAAAAAGGCAAACCCCCAACTTTACCAAAAATTAGCCAGGTGTGGTGGTGGGCACCTGTAATCTCAGCTACTTGGGAGGCTGAGGCAGGAGAATCGCTTGAACCTAGGGGGTGGAGGTTGCAATGAGCTGAGATCACGCCATTGCACTCCAGCCTGGGCAACAAGAGTGAAACTCCATCTCAAAAAAAAGATCTCAAAATAGCCAGGCGCAGCTCACTCCTGTAATCCTAGCACTTTGGGAGGCTGAGGTGGGTGGATCACCTGAGGTCAGGAGTTCAAGACCAGCCTAGCCATCATGGTGAAACTCCACCTTTAA